GTTTTAGTAGAGACGGGGTTTCACCATGTTGACCAGGATGGTCTCGATCTCTTGACCTCGTGATCCACCCGCCTCGGCCTCCCAAAGTGCTGGGATTACAGGCTTGAGCCACCGCGCCTGGCCCCCCCTTGTATAACTTTTGACTCTGCAAAACTTAATTACTAATAGGCTACTGTTGACCAGAGTCTTGTCGATAACATAGTTGATTAACATATTTTGTATGTTATATGTATTATATATATTATACAGTAGGCTTACAGTAAAGTAAGCTGAAGAAAATGTTATTAAGACAAGTGTAAGGAAGAGAAAATATACTTACAATTCTTAAGAAGTAGATCATTATGAAGGTCCTCATCCTCATCACCATTTCCTTGAGCAGGCTGAGGAGGAGGAAGCGGGGGTTGCTCTTGCTGTCTCAGGAGTGGCAGAGGCAGAGGAAAATCCTCATATAAGTGGAACTCACAGTTCAAACCCATGGTGTTCAAGGGTCAGCTCTATTAGGTTTTGCTTAATTGACCTTTTAAATCAACCAACTTATTTGAGACAGTAAATTTAGATAAGATATAATCATGCATTTAGAGATCAACTCTTGTTCAGGTGAACCCCAAAATACATTTCTGAGACAGATAAGCTGACTTCAGTATTCTAGTACCCAAACTTTACCATTTAATATTATAAATAGTTATAATTATTGTATTCTGGGCAAGCTATGAGAAATCCCTTGTAAATTATAAGTTAAGTTGTATTATTTTTATTTATTTATTTAGAGACAGAGTCTTGCTCTATTACCCAGGCTGGAGTGTAATGGCACGATCTCGCCTCACTGCAACCTCCACCTCCCAGGTTCTATTGGTTCTCCTGCCTCAGCCTCCCAAGTAGCTGATATTACAGGTGCACGCCACCACGCCCAGCTGATGTTTGTATCTTTAGAAGAAATGAGGTTTCACTATGTTGCTCAGGCTGCTCTCTGACCTCAGGTGATCCACCCACCTCAGCCTTCCAAAGGTGGGTGGATCACCTGAGGTCTGAGATTACCGACACGAGCCATCGCACTTGGCTATTATATTCTTTAATTGCTTTTCAGTTACACCTGCTGCTCTGAAGTTAAACGTGGCCGTCTCTGGTGTGGCTTTCCTTTCTGGGAACTGCTGCTGGCTGCTTGGGTCAACTGAAGGGTACTGGTAACGGATTCTTTAACAGCTGCAGCACCAGTGAGGGCCAGCGACAGAGGCTGCTTTCACACGTTCTGTTCCAGGGCCAAGCCAATCTTTCTAACTTCTAATTTACATGGAGCTGAAGGTTTCAAGTAGCAGAAGTAGCTGGGTAGGGGACAAGCGATGCTGCCATTTGGGTGCTTTTCTCAGAGTCTGGAGAGGGGGAGTCGGTCAGCAATGCTAACTCCTGGGGCGGCAGCCTGCCATGAGATGCTGGAGTTCAGAACCCCTCATAGGAGGATGCTTTGCTCTGGGGCCTCTGGGGAGGGAGGGAAGAGGCACTGCTCCTCCTTCCTGGCCTGGTGACGAGGTAGCAGATACTCAGAATGTACTTTTCTGCCTCTCAAGGGTCACACAGACTTACAGCTTTCCACATCTCCAAGCTTCTGGGCTGGGAGGACTTGGAGAATCCCAGTTCCTCGTCTGGTCAGACATGCACATCAATCTGATAAACACTCAGTTTTCTTGGCTTAAAAAGGCCCAAATTGCTACTAGTATGTGGGTAAGAGGTCACTTAATCCAATCAGCTTCAGTGTAAAAGTTGCAATCTGGCCTTGGATCACACTCCTGGGTTGGAGTCTTATCTCCTCCGCACATTAGAGCATGTGATGGCAGGTGCATAGCTACCTCGCCTCTGTATGCCCGGTGTCCCAGCAGAATAGAGACAGCAGTGGAAGTTGGGAGCATTATTACAAGGCCACCAACTTCTCTCATCCCCAAACTGTTCTTACTTCTGAAGCATCCTAAGAGGAGATAGGAAGGAGAGGACCCCACCAGCCCAACAATTTTGCACATTGCCACCAGCACCATCACAGCTTTTGAACCTTGGGGGTCCAAGTGTTTGCTGATTTTTCTCCATAGCCTGCCTCTCTAGCTGTGCCCCTAGAAATGAGATTTGATACTTCCTCCCGCAGTCCTCTCCTGCCTCACCCTCTCTTTCAGTCCTCCAGTTTCCATGGGACAGAACTATGGACCTCCTGCTGCCACTGAAGTACCTCTTCCCACTCCCACCCAGAGATTCCAAAATCTGGAATAAAACACACCGGGTGAGGGGGTTCAGTATCTTAGGATCTCACCTGTCAAGCCGATTAACAGCCTGAGCCCACAGGCAGAAACAGACTGGCAGAGGTGGAGGGAAGGTGCCTGGGAGCTGGGAGACTTGTTTCAAAGCTGTACTGGGGTGGTTTGGGAGGTGCTGGTAGAGATGACGGGGCCCAAAGCTGTCACCCCAACCTAAGCTCTGGTGAGAAGTGTTTCTCACCACCTACCAGGTTTCCTTCACACTCCCCTGTATCCACAGCGCAGTTCTCTGGGGCGTCCAACAGTCAACGGGGCAGGGCGGGGGGGGGGGGGGGGGGGGGGGGGGGGCTTGCTGCGGGGGGGGGGGGGGGGGGGGGGGGGGGGGGGCTTGCTGCTGCGGTGGAGACCAGGGCGGCTGGCGGAGAGCGATGCTGTCCTGCTGTGACTGTTGGCACAGGGCACATTTGTGTTTACCCACATTCGAATGTGCTTTGGAGCTAACCTGGGGCCGTAACCATCACTCACCTTGTTTCCACCAGAAAAGCGGATCTGATGGAAAGTACTTTGTGGAAATCTAAGCAGTTGATGATTATCCCTAAGGAATGCAGGGACTGCACATACAAAACGTTGACTTTTTGATCCATTGCTTTGCAACTGCTCAATTATTCGCTTATCAAACTTTGAATGTTGTAGGATGTCTTCATGTGTCTACAACTAGAATGTAAATTGATAGTGAAGATTTGTCTCATTAATCCTGAATCTCTGCTACGGTAATAAATATATTGCTTTGCTCACAGGAATCACTCATTAAACGGACTTAATGTTTAATATTTGCTATGTAATGATTATTATAGAGCGGAAACTGAACTATTTTGCCTGTTCATAAATAATTAGGTTTTGAATTTCAAAGTGACTCCTCAAGGGGTGGCGTGAACACATGTAGGATTCACTGAAGGTCTTTTCTCCCACCTCGGCTCCAGCTCGCTTTTTCCTGTGAAGCAGGATGTGTGCGGCCGCAGAGCGGGATCATTCGCGGTGCCTTTTCTGCTTTCTCGAAGGCGTGGAGAGGCTGTAAGGGACTTTCTCTTAAACGTGCAGGGCCTCCACCTAGGACCCCGGGAGGCTGCTGTCTCCCGGGGCTGCTCCTGGCGTCCGCGGGACTAAATTAACCCCGAGCCACCGAGCGCCATCTGGGGGAGCCCCGGGACGCTTGGTGCGCGCTCCGCCCTCCGCTGTCCTGGCACTTTGTTGGCATTCAACAGTCGGTCGTGACACCAGCCGGGCACTGCCCCGGGCCTGGCGGGGCCGCGTCTTTAGCAGCGCACTGGGCACCTCCTCCACCTGCCGGCCCGGCCAGCGTCTCGGCCGTCGGGACCCGGGGGCGCCACGACTTGCCCGCAGTCGGAAGGTGGGAGGTGGTGTCCGCAGGGTCCGGTCCCTGGAGCACCGAGTCGGGTGGAGCACCGAGTCGGGGGCAGCCCCCAGTCCCAGGAGGAGGTAAGGGTGGGAGCCTGTCGCTTGGAGTCACCGGCTTTGGTCGCCGGGATGTGAAGAAGCCGGAGCGGCCGCAGCTGGACGCAGGTGGGTGTGGAGGGGGCGCCCGGCCTGCGGGTACCCTCTGCTTGCACAGTGGCTGAGCGCTCGCGTCTCCTTCTAGAGGCTGAGGATCCCGCGGCTCCGCTGCACCATGCCCTTCCCGCGCGTGCCGCCGCCGCCCGCCCCCGCCCCCGCCCCCGCCCCCGCCCCGGGGGTCCAAGCCGCGCTCCAGTTACCCCGGAGGCCCTGCGCTGTGGCGGACAAGAAGAAAAGGCCCCCAGAGCGGCCCGAGGGGCTCCTCTCCAGTTCCTGGCCCTCCGCCACGCTCAAGAGGCCGCCGGTCCGGCGCGGCCCGGGCTGGAACAGGACGCAGCCGCCGGCCCCTCCCGGCGTCTCCCCGCAGACCTCGCCCGGCCGCGCGCGGGCCCCTGCCATGTGCGCCACGCCCCGGACGACGGGCTCCGGCCACAGCCCGGCGAGGACCAGGACCACCTACGCGGGGACCTCGGCGGGGACGGGTACCACCGCCGCGGGGACCTCCTCTGGGCCGAGGGCCCGGCCCGACGCCGCAGCGCGCTTCTCGCTGAGCCTCACCCCCGAGGCCGTCCTGGTCATCCAGAGGCGTCACCTGGAGGAGCAGCTGCTGGCGCGGCCCCGCAGGCCCTTCCCCTCGCCCTCGACCGAACCCAGGCGCCTACTCGCCCCCTGTCCCCGGGCCAGGGCAGCGGGCTCGCGGAGAAGCGGCCCAGCCAGCGACCCCGACACGCCCCCCGCCGCCGGCCTCGGCCGCCGCGCGCCTCGGCCCCGCGCCCCGCTGCTGACCGGCGGCCTGCAGGTTCCCCCGCTGAGCCCGCGGCCGGGGTCCCTGCGCCCAATGCTCAAGGTGTCGCTGCTCAACGAGCGGCACAGGTACGACGACGTGGAGTACGAGGAGGAGGAGGCAGAGGCGCTGGACGAGGGCCTGGTGCGCAAGTGCACCGAGTGGCTGCGCGGCGTGGAGTCGGCGGCCGCCTCCCGGGACCGGGCCGGGGCCCTGGACGCGCGGCCGCACCTGAGCACGCTGTGAGCGCGGCGGGCTTGCGGGGACGGGGCCTCCGGGGACTGGGCCTCCGGGGACGCGCCAGGCCTGATCCCAACCATCTGCTGCACTTGCCGCTCCGCCTGGGGGCAGTCGGGGGAGACCGCAGGCTCCTCGGGCCAGCGCCCACCTCCAGGACACCCGTGAGCAAGCCGGCCCGTGTGGGGCTCTGCCAGACTCGGCAGACTGCCACGGTCCGCCTCCTGCCCTCGCCAGCCGGCAGCCCAGGACTTTCTTGTCTACATCGGTGTTATCTACCCCAGAACCCGCCTCTGCCCCACTCTGACCTCCCCTTGGCGCCCCCGAGTCCTTGCAGTTTGTGGGGAACTAAGGAACTGTGAAAATGCCTCTCGGCCCCTCCAACCCTAAGGTTGGTCTAAGTCCCAGAGACCCTCTGCCTGGAGGCGGGTCTTCCCCAGGGCTACATCTGCACCCCCTGTGGATGTCACCCTCGGCCGGTGCCAGGTACCCTGGACAGTGCAGCAGGCGATGGCCCAGGGTGGGTGGCTGCGACGGTGGCCTCCTGCTGCAGAGCTGGGATGCGGTGCTACATTTGTGATTTTGTTTTCTCCCAAGTCAGAAAAGTGTTGAGGGTATTAGCAATTCCTGAAACTCAGCGAACCGAATTTCCAGTCTCCAAAGCGGAAGGGTAGGCACCGCCAGAGCTGGTGAGCCCTGGTCAATGGGCGCTTCCATGGAAACCGCTCGGCCGATGACATTTTTCTGTGTATTATTTGAATAAAGAGTAAAACTCCTCTGACGTTTCGTAACCATACCCTTTCACCACTAACTGGAGGCTGATTTCTACATATTTCTTCCATGCATCTGAGTATATCTAACTCAAAGGATGAGAAGGAAATAAAATGGTATAATCAGATAAGGCTGGTTTTAGAAGAGTAATGTATTACCTCAATTTTTGACTGACTTTGTAAAAGCCAATAACTGGTTTAATGTTTATCTTGATAGACTTTAAATGTGTCAAGTCTTAATTGTGTTTTAAATTGAAGCCTTACATTTTAAAAAACAGATTTTTCTTGTGGAGGTCTTTGTCCTAATAACTCTCTCTCTCTCTAATTCTAGGCACACATTTAGTTAGATGTGAAGCATTTAATTCATTGGGAGCTAGGTCAGCTGCCAGATGAGTTGCAAAAACAACAACAACAACAAAACGCACCCATTGAATAACTTCTTTGAATCTGGAGATAAGTTTTCTTTCATTTAACATGAATATATTAATACTAGAAGGGCGAAACTAGCAATGCTTGCTGAAGCAGCAGTGCTGCTCTTGTTCCACTCCTACCCAGGTGACCTCTGAGTGCTGCGTCCTGGGCAGGGTACTTGATCTGGAGATGAGAGGGTGGGTCAAGAGAGCACTGACTCCAAGCCAAAGGCAGGGAGGGGATCAGCTTGGTCTCATCTTGCAGCAAGTGCAAATACCAATCATTCAGATGCCAGACCTCTGCCCTTGGTCACAGTAACAACAATGTTTTGAAGACTTTTCCCTGGTGGTATCCTAGAGGCAGTGAATTTCTACAGCCTGTCTGTCTTCCAAGATGAGCCCCTGCTGCAGTGGGGCTGTCACGGCACCTGTGTGTCTCCCTGCCATCGCTGTCAGCTGCTTTATTTTGATTTCCTTTCTTCCCTCGCCCTCTTTCTCCAGGCTCCGTGCAGGCATCTCCTGTTCTTAACTGGCCGCAATACGACACTAAGCACATTTTTTAATGATTTGCATTTATTAAATAGAGTGTGTGTGCCTTGTTCTCTACTTTAAAAGCAAATGAGTGGAACATTTGTTTCCCTGGTCAAGGAGCCTGAAATAAAAACAAACCAAAAAAAAAAAAAAAAAAAAAAAAAAAAAAAGGAAAAGAAAATGTTCTACACATGACACGTGATGTCTCTTCATTGCTGTTAAGGACATTTCGAGAAAGTTTTCTAAAGTCACTATGCTATAATTTCTTAATGCTTAAATAAAAGAGAAATTCAATGACTTGTGCTTCTTTTTGAGGGGGACATTGCAAACTGGTCAGGAAGAGGCCACTGAGGGATTTGAAATTCACATGACACGGTTTCTTCACAGTGGGGCTCAACCTTAGGTTCTGGGATTTCCAGGAGTTGACAAAATTTGCTGGTTTTAATCACTATTAGAAATTACCAGGATTTTGAGATAGTCAATTACTGTAAGGTTATTTAGCAATGACACTTGACCTTTTATGAGGTCGCAAATCTCCATGAAAGCTGTATTCCAAAAGGACTCCTAAAAACAGGTACCGCATAGGGACAAAAAATTGCATATAATTTTCATATATTTTAGGAAGCTGATGGGTTCCAGGTTAAGGAGTCCTCCTATACACACTCAGTAAAATATTTTTTATTTTGCCTAAAGTCATTTCAAACTGGTAGGTCATACCAATGAAAAATTAAGGGGTCAATTTGAATAATTACTAGACTATTAGATTACTACCATATTATCAAATTCTCCCATAACTGTACTATCTCGTAGCAGGGAATGAGGAAGTAAAAGTGTTGCCACTTCCAAAGATTGAGCATATGTGACTTAATTCCATCTATTTAGAGAATAGCTGGCGCTTTTAAGATAGGTTTTTATGTTGATCTGCCTTATCTCTAGAAAAGTGGATGCCAAGTTGTCAGAACCATTAGTTTTAGGGTTTTCCTAGAAATCATGCAATTCAGTTTAGAGCAGGTCATCTGTGGGATCTGAGATCTTTGCTTTTCAGCATGGCAATTTCAGCCAACCATGGTATAAAAGTCAAAGAAAGTCTGAAAAGAACAGTCTCTCTAGTAAGCAAGGACACTTTTGCATTAACGGCCGTGCACACACAGGCCTTTGTGACCTGTGGGAAACCTGGATTGACACAGTTCCCCAGGGCGGCCTCAGTCCAGATGCTGCCTGGGTAAGGGCACTGCTGCTCCCGGGGCCTGTAGTGGTGGCCCCATGGCCTGGCTGGGAGACTGAGCACCCATAAGTGTTGTGTAGGAGAAGGTATCACATCGTGGTTCAAGGTGGGTTTTGGTGCCCTGAAGGCCGGAGTTCCCACACTGATGCTGTCATTTATCGGCATGTTTCTTTTTTTTTTTTTTTGAGATTTTGTCTGTTTTCATTTTGTTTGTTTGTTACTTTTTGAGATGAAGTCTCACTCTTGTTTCTCAGGCTGAAGTGCAATGGTGCCATCTTGGCTCACCAAAACCTCCGCCTCCCAGGTTCTAGGGACCCTCCTGCCTCAGCCTCCTGAATAGCTGTGATTACAAGTATAGGCCACCATGCTCGGCCAATTTTTGTATTTTTAATAGAGATGGGGTTTCTCCATGTTGGTCAGATTGGTCTCGAGCTCTCGACCTCAGGTGATCTGCCTGCCTCGGTCTCCCAAAGTACTGGGATTACAGGTGTGAGCCACCACGCCTGGCCTATCCGCATCTTTCATTAAACCATTCATGTCCCTTTTCCTCTTCTGTCTGTCTGTTGGATAGTTGAGCATAGGTGACCCTGGTGAGGATTATGAGGCAACGTGCAAAGCATGACCCCAGCTCCAGGTTAACTGTGATTTTTGCTATTCAAAAAAGTCTTTACTACTCAAAAAACATCCTTCTCCAGCACTCCTGTGCACATTCGAAATCCTCCCTGGTCACAGTACTCTGAGGCTTTTTTTTATCTCTAACCATTTAATGCACACCTACACTTTTATTTCCCTGAGGAGTTAAAAAATTAAAATATTTATTGTGTTTTGCCTTCTTATCTCACAATTATTATGTTACGAGCACAAAATTTAGCTCTGAGCTTCCTGGTAGCAGAGACAAAGTTTAAAGTAATGAGTCATACAATCTCAATATCTAATAACAAGAAACTCTTCTTGGAGAAAATTGTTTTGTATGTATTTGTATTATATACAACATAATGGACAGTATCTTTAAATGCAGTTTCTCAAAGATGCCTAATCACCATTAGCTCTTGATAAAAGCCAGTGGGGTCACCGTCAGCTGCATCCTGGCCAGAACTAGACTGTCCCATCTTGTGAAGCTGGCATAGATGGAAACCTTCAGATCCAGTAGGGAATCTTCAGGAAGCAGTTTCAGATCTACTCAAGTATCTAGAAAGTTCTAGAACCTCAGACAATTCTACATCAGCCCTTAAATGTTTGGTATCATGACCTCTTTCTAGTTTCAAAAATTATTGAGGGAAAAACATTATTGAGAGAAGCCAAAGAACCTTCTTCGGTGTAGTTTTATCCATCAGTACTTCCTGCATCACAGCTAAAGACGGAGACCCTAGAACAGGCTAAGTGCTGGTTTCATCTGTACCATGTCAGCTCCTGGTGCCTGCTCTAAGGCTGGGTTAGCTACATCTGAAATGGATGCGAAGTGTTTTAAGATACAGGTTTTCCAGGCCTCAGACATAGGGATACTAATTCAGCAGATCTGAGAAAGGGCTGATGCGCAACCAGGTTGGGAGCCATTGCTATATGGCAAGAAATACAAGCCCAGGCTCAGGACATACAGCAGATGTTATTGAAGGTGGATTTCACCAACTGTGTCCGCTCACAAAAGACCCTGCAATGCTCCTCTGTCAACATCAGTCTCCTTTTCTAGGTAGCAATGTATCCCTTCCTGGCCATGTGTTTTCATGCAGGGAGGGTAGGATGCAATGACCAAAAGTAACTGAAGTGACCCCATGACATCAGCAGAGGCACCGTCCAGCTCATAGAATTGGGAGCACTGGACACTCCACTTGTGGGAGGGCCTTGTCTCAGACCTCACCCATTCCAAGTATCCTCCCTTGATGACCAATGTCCCAGGCCTTCCCTCATCTACCTCTGCAGGCTCCGAGAACTGCACATGCATGGCTGTGTCCTGAAAAGCCAACCCCAGACAGTGCACAGAGCTCAACAGCTAATTGTATGTGGAAATTGCAAGTATCTATTGAGATAATATAACAAGTATTCACTTTGAGCAGGATAGTATACCAGCAGGCCCACAATAGTCCAGTTATTCATTCAAAAAACATTTTCCCTTACTCTACAGGATGAATTGCATCTGAGGTACAGAACTAGCTGGAACGGTTCCCTATGTAATCCAATGGGTCA